ATGGTACAGGTGGCAATCTGACCTTCTATTTTCTTCCTTCCTTTTTTATCTTATTTGAAAAACAGGGGAAATCAGACAGGCAAGAATAAACCTCAGTGCTTAAGAGAGAGCGTAGGAGGGCCACATTATGACCTGCATTATCATACAGGATGCAGGAAAGCTCAACAGAACAGGCACAGGGAAAGAGCCGATTACTGGGAATTTAACTCTCAGCTTATTCAGCACCCAGATCACACATTCGTCATTCGTCCGAGCTGCATGGGCCCTCGCAGATCGCCTCACTCACTCATTCATTGTTCATTTGTTGCTTCATTCATTCATTCATTCATTGGTTCATTTGTTCATCTATTTATTCAATGAGTATTATCAGGCCAGAGACAAAGTATGTGATAATAAAGACAAACCACAACAAAAACCAAGGTGAATTTTTTGGAGCTTCAGCCGAGTGAGGGAACCACTTTACACATGAAGAAACTGAGGCTGGAGTGTTTATTTCATAACCTCAGCAGCTCCACACAGCTCCAGAGCTGAACCTGGAACTCAATTCCTGTTCAGCCCTTTCTCCCTGGCATCATGCCACCTCCTCCTCAAACAGTCTCCTTACCCCAGACCAGGCTCCTCCCCACCGAGGAGCCAGCTGTCTGAGAACAAGGACATACCTGGGGAAGCTGGCCACCTACCTCACAACAATCTTCTGGGTGGGGGAGCGTCTCGATGTATTTTGAAAGTGAATTTGTTAACATGACCATTAGGGTCATGGGTCTGCAAGAGTTTTTGATCATTTTCTTCTACCAGAAAAATAATTTTGATCTTGAGCATGTACAGATACATTTATATTTTTAAAAAGATAGACACTTGAAACAATAGTTTTCCTCTCCTCACGAGGCAGACAGAGATCTCGTATTTTGAGGACTGGTGTCATTCTAATGTGCCTGTAGCATTACTGATATCTGCTTTGACTTGTGTTCGCGGAAGCAATCATTCTCAGGCCACTTGTCTATCGCGTGAGGGCTGAATTTGTCAGGACCTCATAATACAAAGTTAGTTAAATTCAGGACCAGCAGATGGCATAATGGTTACATTGCTGGACTTCCACATAGTCTACCTTGTTCAAGGCCTGGACTCAGTGGCTTTAAAACTCAGGTGGGGCACAGGTGCGTGCATGCCCAAGATCTCAAGAGGAGAATGGAGGAGAAAGGATTGTGGCATGCTCCCCCCCACGCCCCCCGCCACATGGTGTGGGGGAGTGATTTCTCACTTTCTGTCTCTCTGTCTCTCTCTCATTTTCCAGCGAGTGCACATGCTCTATAGCAAAAATCTCTCTTTAAAGAAAAAAAAAGTTAGCTAAATTCTATAATGCACATTTAACATGGCATCCTGAAACTACAGTATGTTGCCATTACTGAATGCAGAGAATGACTGTGGTGGGTATCTGGGGAGAAAAGAGTTATCAAAGGAGGGACCAGCAGTTAGCGTAATGGCTATGTCGCTGGACTCCCATGTAGTCAACCATGGTTCGAGTCCTGGACCCGGTGGCTTAAACTCATGCCAGGCGCGTGTGCGTGTGTGCCCAAGATCCTGAGAGGAGAATGGAGGAGAAGGGATTGCGGCGTGGCCATACCCCCTGGGGGGTGATTTCTCGCTTTCTATCTCTCTGTCTGTCTGGTGAGCGCACGCACCCTATAGCAAAAACCTCTCCAAAAAAAGAGTTATCAAAGGAGATCTGAGCTGTCATTCTTAGAACGCCTTGTTCTAAGGTCGGATTTGGTGTTTGGGCACTTGGATTTCGGGAGGTCGCCCCACTCGCTCAGTGGCAAGAGTGGCTCATGTGCTTGAACTATTCATGCAGGCAGCATGGCTTATGCCGAGCACCTGCCTTCCTGCTTGGAGCCTGGAATTTTGGTGTGTGCTAGGTGGAGCGTGCCGATGAGACCAACCCCCGTGAAAACCCCGGGCACTGAGTCTCTCGTGAACGTTCCTGGCAGACAGCACTCTACATGTGTTGTCACTATTCATGTGGTAGAACTGCGTGTCTCCTGTTTGACTCCATGGGCAGAGAGCTCTTGGAACGTGCACCCACGTTCCTCTGGACTGCACACCTGAGCGTTTTTTGTCTGGTTGATCTTGTGTACCTCTGGCCGTAATCAATCCCAGCTCTGAGTGCGACTGTATGCTGAGTCCTGTGAATCTTAGTGAATTACTGAACCTGTCTTGGGAACTCTTGACACAGTGCCCTGTCACTGCCACAGCTGTTCCTCCTCATGCCTTGCGCCTTCATGCATAGACTGCTTAACTATTCCGTCCTCAGGACAGATCCTGCGTATGCCCACCAGACACCCACGGAGCCTATCCTAGTATTAAATATCCATGCGGCTTCATTTCTCTAACTTTTTTTTGTACATTAAAAAGTAAATAAATAAAAGTTGTACAATACTCTTCTGATAAAATGACCCCGAGGGATCCACTAGATCATTGTGTACATTCCCTAGGGTGCTTATATCCCATGTGGAGGCAGCTCTGAGACGACAATGAACCCACACCAGAGGAAGGACTAGCAAGAGTGGGATGGGGGACCCCACCAGCAGAGCCAC